CAGGCCAGGGCACATGTGATTTTTTCCCCTTTGTACTTCATTGTTTTCACATTTTCTACATTGTGCCTGTAGTTTTCTATAATGAGAAAAAAAGTAATCATTTATATTTTAAATTCTTAATAAACATATATATGACTAATAATAATCCTGACTGATAAGCACTATAATTTACAAAAAGGAATTAAGACATTAAGCAAAAAGGAATGAAATTTTAAGGATGAATTTCAAGCATCAATCAGCATGTCCAGGGTAAAAGCATTCACCACCCTTGAGATTGTTTATATGTCTGTTCAACAAATATGTATTGAAGAAGAAACATTTTAATGGAAAAGCATGAGCTTGAAACCTGAAGACTTCAATTGAAGTCTAGGCTATGACACTTAATAGCTACGTGAAACCCTTAACTACTCAAATCAGTTTTAAGTATAGGAGATCTCAAAGGGATCTTTTGCTTTATTTATTGTTTTAATATTTTTAATTGTGATGGTGTATCCCTTTATTAGTTCTGTAATTACATATTTAATGTATTTAAAGGTGACATGCGTAAGTTATATTATAAAATAAATGTTTTAATATAAGTAATAAGGAATTTAATCCATTGCTTTTCTTTTAATGGAATAGATTCATAGGCAAAAACATAAAGGAGAAAAAATAAAATATAAAGGCTGAAACAAATTTCAGTCAATCAAAACTCAGAATAGTAGGGTGAATGGCCATTAGGCAGAGGGTTAAAAAAGAAAAAAATTACAGAGCAGAAATTACACTTGATGGTTATGTTTCCAGTTCCTGATCTCAGTTTCCTGTGAAGAGTAAGGGCAAAAGTGTCAGCTGTAATGCTTTTTGGGAGCAGATACTATCGAATGAGACATTAAAAACTATAAAACTTTCAGTTTTCATTCAATGCGAAACTTGTTAAAATTTTCAGGATGTAATTTATTCAGCTCAATATTTTTAGCAAGAAAAAAAGATTATCCAAGTTATATTCATTTGCCTATTTAAACCAAAAATAAAAAACACTTTTAAAGGTTGTGATAAAAATTCCTTTTAAAAACTCTCTAAATCATCATTCCTCTTAAAGTGAGGGAGTAAGACGAATCAGTAATACAGTATTCCTAATTGTATTAGGAATGGGACAAAATTGGCTGTTTTGTTCATTTGTTTTTTTGTTAATCCTTACCCAAGGATATTTTTTCTATTGATTTTGAGAGAGTGGGAGGGATGGGGGGAGAGAGCAACATTGATGTGAAACACATCAATTGGTTGCCTCCCGAACTTTCCCAGACCCTGCAACCCAGGTAGGTGCCCTTGACCAGGAATCGAACCCTCAACCCTTTGGTGTGTGGGCTGATGCTCTAACCACTGAACCAAACCGGCCAGGGCAGAAAATTCTTTTTAGAATGAAGAAATTACTTTTCACAAATGTGATTTATTTTAGGTGCAGGTAGTTGCCAGGGTTACTAAGGAGAATGAACTTAATAAGGAAGTTGTGGTAATTCATGCTTTAATATGGAAAGTCTTCCACAGCAGAGGTACAAATGATTGGTTTTGAAAGTACTTTTGCTGCCAACATCCAGAAAATTATTTTTCAAATCACCAGTATGAAGTAGACTCCAAACAACTGACAGGCTCTTAAAATTTTTAGTTTTTAAACTTACAAATTGAACATAGTATAACTTCACATAAACATATATATATTACATGTGAAAACTTTTAGTTTTGTGAATTTTACACCACAAATGTACACTTTTTTCTTAATTTTAATGTTGTCTTAAAAGGTTAATTCATGGAAAACTAAACCAATAGGTGGAGTATATGTAAATCCATAAACTCAATTCCACGAATAAAAATTCTCTTGTAGATACTCTGTATCTTAAGTCATTAGACTAAAAGTTACAGGAAAAGGAATATATATACCCCCAAATTTTATTTTTAGTTTATAGGGATGAGACTGTTAATTGCAGGGTAACCTAACCAAATTTGCTTCTCCATTAGGATTAACATTTGGTTTTAACTATTTTCACTTAATTTTTTTTTTTTTTCTTAAATGTATCTTTATTGATTTCAGAGAGAGGAAAGGAGAGGGAGAGAAACATCAGTGATGAGAGTCACTGATCAGCTGCCTCCTGCATGCCCCCGACTGGGGATCAAGCCTGCAACCCGGGCATGTGCCCTGACCAGGAATCGAACCCTGATCTCCTGGATCCTAGGTGGACGCTCAACCGCTGAGCCATGCCCGGCCGGGCTCACTTAAATTCTTAATGAATATTTTTCGGTAAGCCAATCTGCTCCCCAAGAGGACTGTAGCCATTTTTTAATTACCTTTTTCAAATTTACATAACTTATAGTGCTTTTCAGGCATTAACATTCCATTAAAAATTAATAATATTAGTTTGGGAACTATATCAAACTAGTTGCAAAAGGTAGTAACATTGACAAAACAAGCAAAGTTAAGGTTTAATGGCAAAGTGCCAGGAATTAAGTAATTCAATTCTTTGTGATCAGATTTAAAAATTAGGAATAGTGTTAATCTATTGAAAAAGAAAAGCCTACATACATTATAGGTTCCAACAATTCAGCAACCACCTAACAATCTGCTATCGGTCCAGTGAAACTGAGAAACTATGTGATGACATTGAAAGGAATCTAAGGAAGGTGACTTTAAATAGTAAATATGGCAAATTTACAATAGGGCGAGTCTTTTGAGTAGTGCACAATCACTTTGAAATTTTGGAGTACAAAGGAAATGCTTTGGAATTTCAAAAGTAGTAACTCATTGCGAAGTGGAGATAAAAACAGAAGAAAAAAAATGACCCACCACTACTGTTCACTGCCAAGAATTCTATTGTAGTACTACTAAAAAAACTTCATCAGTTATGTTTTCTCATACTTGAATTGTGGTTCAAGTCAGAGTACAGTGGAAATGCCTGTCTTTCAGAGGAAAAAACCCAAAAGTAGTTAGAAAAATTTCTTTTTAGGTCTGTATGTTTTTCCAAAGAAGTTCATTAAGCTAAAAATACAGACCAGCTACCTCAGCAATTTATAGTCAGTCACAGACTTACTTGAAAGCTGAATCAAAGTGAAAAGCTTTTATTGGGACGAGAGGTCAGTGGGATGTCACTTCAAGCTGCAGATTCATAAAAAATACAAAATTATACATTTCTAAAACTTGGACTTAATTATCTTTTTAGTTTCACTACAATCCTTTTAAATTTGATTACTAACACGTGATCAAAAGTAAAGTAATAAATTACAAAATTTTACAAAACTATCAAGGCATTACTTATTTAAGGTTTGTTTCCTGAAAATCAAATTCCTGGAGCTAGAAGTATATAAAAAAAGTGTAAAAACAGAATAAGGCAGCTGAATGACTAGGTTAAGTAGTCATGAAAAATGCCCCAAGGACAAAGCTTAGACTTTTATGTAACATGATGTAATGGAAACATTATTAGACCAGAAGCCAAATAACTTGGATTCACTCCTGTCTGCTCTAATGGTTTTGTGACCTTGACCAAACAACCACCTAAGTTTCTATCTGTATAAGAAACTTAGAAAACCAGAGGGTTTAGACAAGATGGTTTCTAGGGTTCTTTACTAATTTAAACTACTATAATTTCAAGTCTTCTAAGAAACACTTGCATCAGGCAGCCCTCCCTGGAAAGTTATAATCAGTTGGAATGGCAGTTTGTAAGAATACAGGTATGTGTACATGACAGAACAGTAGAGAGACAAGTGATTGGTTTTCCAAGGACTTTTTTGCTGCCAACACTCTCGATACACTAAATTCCCATTGTTTATGAAGTGGGAAAATCATAGGTCATACATTGGTTTCTTCAACTTTATCAATATTCCCAAACAACAAGCTGCAGTTTTTATTAAGTTTGACGCCAGTGATAAACAAAATTTTATCTTCTTGATACTGTTATTTAAGAAGCTGCTTTTGAATTGGGTGGTTGTCTCTCTTCCTCCCTCCCAATTCATATATTGAAGTCCTGGGCCCCAGTACCTCAAAATATAACCTTATTTGAGGATATGGTCCTTGCCGAGTTAAAATGAGGTCCTTAGGGTGAGCCCTAATCCAACATAACTGATGTCCTTGTAAAAAGGGGAAATTTGAAGGCAGACTTACATATAGGGAGAACACCATGTGAAAATGAAGACAACCATCTACAAGCCAAGCAGAGGCTCAAAACAGATCCTTCCCTCACTGCCCTCAGAAGAAACAAATTATGTCAACATTTCCATTTTCAACTTCTAGCCTCTAGAATTAAATTTCTGTTGTTTAAGCCACACAGTCTGTGGTAATTTGTTATGGCAGCCACAGGAAACTAATATAGAAGCTGAGATTATTTTACCTTTATCAAAAGTAATTTGTACATTATCATGCCAGCAACCTCTTATCTCCTAGATCTTACTAATTCTGTATTAATACTTCAGTGGGATTTCTCAGCCAATAAATGACATCAGAAGTTTGGAAATGACTTTGCAGTTGCATAACTGAAAATGAAATGTTAGGAGTTATGAAATGTTACTTTTTCATTGTCTAATCTCTTACCAGTTCCTCCCAGCCTCCACCTTACTTAACATATATACATTTAATATAAATAAGGGCTAAAATAAAGTGAGAATTAAAAAAAAAAAAGGACTGCCATGAAAACAGAATCTTTTCTTCCTACTATAACATTGGTCTTCTACTGTACCACTCAGATGGAGCCGTGGGGATAATTAATGATGGGGAATGCAAAAGGAGGGTCTGGGTTCTTATTAATGGGAGTAAAAGAGGACTTAATTGTACATTGTTTCATTTTAGTTTTGGTACTGCAGTACTTTAATGACTTCATATGAAACACTAAGCTTGTCTTGAGTTTTAAAAAGTTAGTAGCACCTATGGTTATGGAAGGAAAACTAGTCCAGTATTTTTAGTACATCTGTTTCTCATCCATTCATGAAATCAGAGCACATGCACAGGATGACAGACACCACGAGTGGTTAAAACTATGAGCTACCATGCACTGAAAATTTATTTTGGATAAAATGGTATACTGAAAAATGTAGCAATGCCAAGAAAATTGACAATTAAAAATTTTACTTGTTAAAGGCAATTCTCATAAATTCTGTTTAAAATAATCCATTTTAACATCTCCAAAAAGTTGTATTTATTATTTTACATTAACATAATCAAGTTGTCTCGTGGACTGGAAGGTGGCTTAATAATTCCCTTTCATTTCCAAACCTCATCAAGCAGTCACTACATTTATGAGGTAAGTCAGCCGAATGCTTGAAGTCTAGATGAATCTTAAGATCTTCAATTTGTCCTGTTGAATATTCACAGTATTGACATAAATAAATCCCTTCAGATAAGTGTGAATTTAAGTGTTTGCAATACTCGAGCATACTTGAAAAGCCTTTGCCACAGTCATCACAAACATGAGGAAAAATTTTAGTATGTTCAATAGCAACATGCCTGTTAACATTTGTATGAAGTCTACTCCGAAAACCACATACTTGACATACAAAGAAGTTTTTACATTTGTCAAAGGTAATTTTGCTCAAGAGGCTGTACTGTCCATGCTCTCCATTGTTATACTTGTCACTTAACTCTATTAATTTACATGCATGTTCATTTACCACATGGCTATGCAAGTCTTCTGGGTCGTTTGTTTCATGTTCACAGAACTGACACAAGTACTGTTCATCGCAGCTGTGCTCCTGGAAATGCAGGTAGAGCTCACTGCTGGAGGAGAACTGTACATCGCACTGCTCACACCAATAAAGGTGATCACTAAAATGGGTGTCTGCAATGTGCTGGCTGAGGTTCTCAAAAATTACTGTCTTATAATCACAGTATTTACAAATGTAGGGGTCCTCTTCATGCAGTTTGGCATGTTCGATCAGAAGCATGTTGGTCGAGAAATGCTCCTTGCACACTCGACACACATTTGAATCAGTACGCTTATGCTTCAGGATCATATGCTGCTTTAAATCAGAAAAATATTTACTGTTGAACTCGCAAAGTTCGCATTTATAGAGGCCACTGCTATTAGCTCTCAGTAAAGGCCATTTCTGCTGTGCAGTTACATTCAGAGCTTGGCTCTTGTCAAGAATTTTGCAAAGTTTAGCTGGTGGCTCTTCATCAGTTTGGTCTTGGAGACTCTCAGAGGAATTGTTTTCTGCCTCTAAATCATAATCTTCAGAAATTGCATGTACTTCTGCAGCAATTGGAACATCTTCAGCAGTATGAACTTCTATGGGACTCTCCTCTTGAGTTTGCTGGTTGACTGACTCAGGTGAGTCACACTCATCACAAATTTCAACATCGGTAGATTTTTCTGAAAAATAAAACAAGCCTATTATTACTATTACTAAATAAAACCTATTAAATAAATGACAAAAATTTATTTTATGCATTATTTCTTCATTGATGTATAAAAATATGCAAATGCTATTACTTAGTTTCCCTAACCTGTAGGAAAGGCAGTGTGGTCTAGAATTCTAAGTACGGGACTGGGAACCAGATAGTTCTGATTTCTGTTTCTGGCCTTGATTCCATCTGTAAATTTTGGCAAGTCATTTGACGTCTCTGTATCAGAATCATCATCTGTAAAGAAGAATTTGGAAAAACACATTATATCAGAGCATTAAATGTTAAATATAATACAAAGCACGAAATATTTTAAGTATAATTTTGAGTTCCAATAGGAACTAAGGACTTAGATTTAGCCATGAAAAGATGTTACGTACATCAGACACAGAAAATCTGTCCAAACAAGCAAATGTTTTTGCTTCCATGCCTCATTTGGACTAGAACACACTTTTTAATGTTACTTAATGTTACTAAGTTTAAATAAGCCTTTATTCCCTTAGCCCAGCCCCAATGTTTAAAGTTAGCAAGGAGAAACTGAAATATAGGTCAGTAGAGAACACTAGGTTTCAACCTGATGTCAGTGTTGTTTTTAACAGACTTTACTTTTTAGAAGTTTAAGATGTGCTGAAAAAATTTTAGTAGTACAGAGAACTCCCATTTATCCTACAGTTTCTCCACTATTAACATCTTATATTATATGGTACATTTGTTACAATTAATGACCAATATCGGTAAGTTCTTCACCCAGATTTCCTTAGTTGTTAGCTAATGTTCTTTTTCTGTTCCAAGATCCCATATGACATTTAGCTGTCAAGTCTCTCTAGGCTACCGTTAGCTGGGACAGTTTCTTAGACTTTTCTTGTTTTTGATGACCATGCCAATTTTGAGGACGACAGATCAAGATCAAGTATTTTGTAGGATGCCCCACTATTTAATTTTTAAAAAACATGTTTTAATTGATTTTTAGAGAGGAAGGGACAGGGACAGAAACTTCGATGAGAGAGAAACATCACATGGATAAGCTGCCTCCTGCATGCCGTCCTCTACTGGGGATTAAGTCCACAACCTGGGCTTGTGCCCCGACTGGGAATTGAACTGGTGACCTCTTGGTGCATGGGTCAATGCTCAACCACTGAGCAATATCAGCCAAGCATAAAATTTGTTCTTTTTGCATAAGTCAACTGGGATTATGGGTTATGGCAAACTGCCATTTTATCACATCTTATCCAGGATACATATGCTCAACATGATTTATTACTGTTGATGTTGAGCTTGATCACCTGGTTGAGGTAGTATTTACCACGTTTCTCCTCTGTAAAGTCACTCTTTTACTTTCCATATTCTGTGCTCTGGAAGGGGTCACTACGTACAGTCCACACTTCCGAAGTGAGGATTTATATTCCACCTCCCTGAGGGAGGAGTACCTACAAAAATAAGTTTGAATTCCTCTGTATAAGAGTTTTGTTTCTGCCATTTATGTAAGTATGGACTCATGGCTATTTATTTCATAGTTTGGATTATACTTCAATTCCCCCCTCAAATTGTTTCAGCTTTGGCTACTGGGAGCTCTTTTAGTTGGCTCCTGTGCTCCTTTGGCATACCTGCAGAGTAAGTGCCTGTGTGTATGTGTGTGTGAATGTGTGTTTTGAATACTTTATTTTCCAAAACTGTACGATGCTTCAGGTTCATCTTGTATATTTCCTTTCCCAGAACTAGAATCAGCCATTTCTTTAAGAAGCCCTAGTTCCTTTCATTGGAGAATGGTATTAGAAACCAAGATCTGAGCACTAGATATGCTCAGTGCTACTGGGGTATCATTTCTTCTATGTCCTCTCAGCCAATGGAACAAAAAATATGTTTGTGTACACCACCACATATATATAGACATACCTATAAATATTTCTGTATGTAACATCTATGTCTATATTAAGTCAAACATGAGTTCATACTGGTATCTCTGACTCCATATGATTTTTAATAATTTATATTTCTGTCTGTAATAGGAGTTCAAGGGAACTGGGAATTTTGATGGTTGCAGAGGAAGGAGAAAAGAAATCCAAGTTGTTATCATTCACTCAATGCTCTAGAAAAGAGAAGTCAGCAGAAGATGAAAGACTGAAAAAGACCAAAGCCTTTACCATCTGTTCTTTCCTTCCATTAGTCCTCCATACAGAAAGGTATAGATAAGTGGAAGAACCATGTGTAACAACTATTCTTGAACCCTCACCATAAAGACTCCCAACTCTGGGTCACTCCTGCTTTGCCACCAATTCCTAGCTGACTAAAAATGGATTTAGGAAAATGTGTTTTTATTTATATATCTGAAATGTTTAAAAATTAAAATTCACTTACTTGCTTTATTATAAAAACACTCATGTTTTCTTACATTTAAACAAATTTAAATACTTGCCAATTTTGAAATAACAACTCATCCACATTTTCAAATAAGCAAGAAATGATTTTAAAGAAAAATATTTTGGAAAATATTAGATATACCTTTGTTGTCAAAATATTTTAAGTCCGGTTGTCTCATAGAACAGACACTATAACAATGATCTGAAAAAATTCCATTGAATCCATCTGCAACTCTGCTTATTCCAGAGGAATCTGAACACAAAACAAAATTTTAAAAATTTCAAGCACAGTAAACACATACACATTTAATGACAGCCACACCTTTATCCAACATATATGTTTTTATACTACCTGTAACAAAGTAACAGTTCTCTCAATTCTGATAGCTTTTATATTTCAGATCTGATATTAACATTGAGCTTTGAAAGAAATACAAATTATACAATATAAAAATATAATACTCTGAAGCACATAAAGATACATTTGCCTTACTGTCAGAATCCCACAAAATAAAAATAAGCAATAAATGTGTTAACTGCAAAAAACACTAAATTAACTCCGAGAAGACATTCTATGTAGTGCAAAGAAAGCGTAATGCATAGGAAAAATGGTCTGAGGACCAGTTAGGGCTTCTGAATATAGTCATTTCAAGTCTTGTCTGGGAGGGGCCAGTAAGCAGTAAACCAGACTTAATTTCCTTAGATATGAAGAATGTGTAGGTTGGGTGGGCTAACAAAGACGCCTGAAACTGTCCCAACTACATGTATGTAAGGTATATTACAGATGGACATAAAGACAGTAGAGTTAACATCAAAAAGGATCTAAAATTACACAATCAAAATCAAAGTCTACGTTTCTGAATATATAGGATAAAGATTTTTTCCCCAATGATGCAAAATGTCTTCCAACAAGGTTATTGTTGTGCCTTATTAAGCACAAGCTTGGGAAGCACACAGGCAAATCTCAATTATGCTGTGTAAGTATCTGACCTTGGATATTTAATTTTAAATATCTATAAACCCTGAAGTTGTAAGGATAGAATAATGTCTATAAGTTCTGATGTGTGTCTAGCACATGGTAGACAAGGAAGAATTTATATTCAGAGAATGTACTTAAAATTTTCTCTTCCTTAAAAATTGACCCAGATATTGAAATCCTATCTGATCATTTGTAAGAAAATAGATTGCAATAAAATGGCATGGAAATTAATCCATGGCCTGACTTTATTTTTAAAGTATATCTTTATTGATTTCAGAGAGAGGAAGACAGAGGGGGAGAGAAACATCAATGATGAGAGTGTTGTCATTGACTGACTGCCTCCTGCACCCCCCAACTGGGGATCAAGCCCACAACCTGGGCATGTGCCCTGACTGGGAATCAAACTGCCATCTCCTGGATCCTAGGTTGATGCTCAACTGCTGAGCCATGCCTGGCCGGGCCATGGCCCAACTTTAAAATTCACTGACCTGAATAACGAGAAGGGTGTAAAGTCTTCCTTTTTCTTTTTTTAGGATATTCATTCATATCTTTTCAATCTAAAAAATGAAAAAATTTAACAAATATGTCACAAATAACTATTGTTAATATTGTTTTAAAAATTCCTTCTAACCAAAGATAGCAACAATAAGAAATGTGTGTGCCACCTGAAAATATACATAAGAAAAATGTTAAAAAATGCCTGTTTATATTTTTAATTTATTTTTCTAATCAGGTTTAAAGGCAGGACACCAATTTCTTTTTTCTTTTTTAAACATGTTTTTATTGATTTCAGAGAGAAGGGAGAGAGAGACAGAAAAGCATCAACAATGAGTGTCACTGATCAGCTGCCTCCTGTATGCCCCCTACTGGGGATTGAGCCGCAATCCGGGCATGTGCCCTGACTGGGAAGTGAACCACCACCTCCTGGATCATAGGTCGATGCTCAACCCCAGCCACGCTGGCTGAGCCAATTTGTTTTTTTATTGAATTTGAAAATTCTTTTTCAACTGTTGTTATAATTATGAGAACTAGTTAATTACAATGAGCCTTATGCTGAAATTAGTATTTTATAAAAAATAAATTGTGCCTATGGCACCATATTAAGAATAAAAAAGGTACTTTTTTTACAATTGGGAAAATTTTGATACTGTTTTCAAGCAAAAGGTGGATATGACCCCTTAAAATTATATGTATTTTCACAAAGCTGTATTGATTCCCCGGCTTCCAGGAAAAATACTGAGCACACAGAAGCTTGAAATGTAATTTTCGAGAAAAAATTCCTTTTCTTACTATGGGTCACCTTCAACATTCTACTGAGAACTACACAGGTATGGCAACAACCAATGTATAATTAAATTCTCATGGACTGTTAGAAAATGGACTCATTCGTTTTACCACATTCCACTTACTTGGTATAATTCTTAATATGGAAGTAAGGAAAAATGAATTACAGGGAAGTTTTCACAGATAGTAGGAAGTGCCTGTAGAAAAAACATGACAGAAGTCAAAATACAGTTCATTTCTGAGATTCAGGAATACAATTGTACCAAGATCTTTAATCAGCTGGAAAATTATACAGAATTAATTCAAATATACTATTCAGGACTCAAAATTGCATATACTGATAAATATGTGTCTATATGTAAATGTGTCATATTTCTGTGAATGAATTTATCTTCTAAAGCTGTATCTTAACACCAAAATAGGAATGTAATTCTGCATTAATTTATTCAACCACAGTGAAAGCAAACACCAAACCACAGACTTTTAACTATTGAGTTCTTATAGATTACTTACCAACAGAAATAATAATGATCACTTACTGAGCACCACTTATGTACCACGCTGTGCCTTATCTTACTTAATCCTGTGATATGCAAAATCCATTACACTCTCTCAAAATCATTATTTACCCCTGTTGTTGATGTGGAAACTGAGGCATAGTAAAGCCAGTAATAAGTGGTAGGGTTAGCCCGGCCAGGCGTGGCTCAGCGGTTGAGCATCGACCCAGGATCCAGGCCATCGGGGTTCGATTCCCGGTCAGGGCACATGCCCGGGTCGTGGGCTCGATCAATGGCTCTCTCATCATTGATGTTTCTGTCTCTCTCCCCCTCCTTTCCTCTCTCTGAAATCAATAAAGATCTATTAAAAAAATAAAATAAGTGGTAGGGTTGGGAGTTGAACAAAGAACCAATCACTTTTACTGCCCAAGCTTTGGAAACAAATAAGGAGATAAAGTGGTCACCCCAATTCAAGTAACAGAGTAGTGTCAGAATCAGAACTCTCTCTTCCATTTCAGATTCGTGTTCTTTCAACTATAGCAGTGGGCAAGGAAGGAACTTCAAAAAACGAGGTTTTCTCCACCAGCTTTATAGTCTGCTTTTCTTACCAACAAGGTGATACACATGGCAGGTAGAACTCTGCATTGTTACTAAGACCATTTTATTTCTAGTGTTAAGAAACTGAGGTACACATATTATTTCTGCTGCTTCACTAAGTTGTGGGTATATTAGCACTACAAGTGATGTCATCATATGGCAATAAGATAGTGCTTTTTAGTTTACTTAACATTTTCCTAACCCTTATTTTATTTGATCTTCATGACAATCCTGTGAGGTACATAGAGGAGCAACTATCAAACTCACTCAATGTAACTGATGAGGAAACAGACTGAGTAAAGTCGAGTCAACTAAGTTGCAGAACCAGAGGTGAAAACACGGCTTCTGATGCCTGGGTGTTGAACAACTAACTGTGTGTTAATCTTTGCTGCCGATCTCTGCTACCAGCAAGTTACATCTTGCTTCCAGTTCTTACTCAGTCACCAACTGGGAGAGGAAGGGAATCACACAAAGAAATGGACAACCATGAGATACACAGAAATGATATCAATATAATGCCTCACCTAACAAAGCAAATAGCATTTCTTGAGCCCATCCCAATCAAGTGCATTAAATTTTTTTTAAAAAAAGCTGTTTTCATATTTATGTAATACAATGTCAAGACTTATCCCTAATACTTCTTTTGTACACTTCCAGAATGTATACAGCCAAAAGCTTTACACTTCGTGTTCTAAATGCTCTCCAGGTATCAGGGGAAACACTGAAAACTGGCAGCCAAGTATGTTCGAGTAGCCTCTTTGTACTTCAGTCTACACTTCAAATTCTTTTGAACATTAAGAAAAAAAAAAAGAAAAAACAAACAAACCCAAGCATGGCATTAAAATTGATGTTGCAAGCTCGCCTGGATTCACAGTCAGGCGAAAGAAGGAGGATCACCTTAATCAGATAGACAGACTCCTACTCAGGGCTGAACAATATCCAATTGCCTATCAGACCTTCTTTTCAGCAAGGCGGTAACACGCCCATCCAAGACCAAATGCGTTAACCATCCTTTATTTCAGCAAATGTTTTCATGTGCGTAACTGCCCAGATGAAGAGGTTTGGCTTTTACTTAGGAATGTCATATAAACATTTGCTCACTAGTCCTCTCGTTGAGGAAGACTTTGAGTTGAACTGCAGATTAATACATGTCACTGCAGGAAAGTTAGAAAAACACTTTAAAATTAATCAAATCACCTAGACTCTATTCACCCAGGGAAACCATTGTTAACATTTTGGTGTACAGACTTCTAGACATTTTCCTGGGCTAAGGTATATATTGATTTACATTTCACAGTTACAAAAATGAAATCATGCCACAAGAAACATTAATTTTAAAAAGCAACTTACGAAAGACATGCCAGTGCCGTTCCGAAACCTGCTTCTTTCTCAACAAGAATGTCTACGTATAAAACAGACTACACATAATAGGCGCATCAACTAGAATCGCCTTTGTAACGGCCTTTCGTGCAATGTAAATATTGTTCCTAACTGGTATAAAAACAAGACAAGCATTTACAATAAAAAGCTACTAAAATGAGTATATGTTTTCCAGATTTTAAAAGAACTTAAACACAAAAATGTTGCAGGAGGGCTTGAATGAGAACCCCATCACTTCCATGTCCAACTCAGTGTCCGTCTCTGCCAAAGCACAAATCTTTAGCTCTTTGCCAACAGCTGAGCTGCTTCGGAAGACTCGTGTTCCTCGGCTGTACTGAAAGGACCAGAACCAAAAGGGGCGCTGGCACCCTCCGGAGCGGCCGAGACCACGGGCTGCGGACCCGAGCGCCCGGCCCGAC